TGTAAANTATATTCAAGGTCACAGGGGTCAGCTATATTTAAAATCTTTATACGACTTCTGATAAATAACCAAATGGCCAAGGATGATGAAATTTGGCCTGTTACATGCTGGGATGAAGGGCCACTTTGTGTGTTTACTATAAATGATTGACCTTGAGCTATATTGAAGGCCATAGGGGTCAATTATCTTAAAAAACTTTTGGGGTCAATTATCTTAAAAAACTTTCGAACAACTTCTTCTGAATAACCCAAAGGACCAGGTGATGATATTTGGCCAGTAGCATGCTGGCATGAACAGATCTAGAAGGGCTATCAACTTCAAATGAATTATCATGATCTGGACTTATATGCAAGGTCACAAGGTTTACATATGATTTACAATTTTAATGACATCTTCTGAATAACCATAAGGTCCAGAATATTGATATCTGGATAATAGCATGCTTAGATGTAGGGCTACAAATTTTATTCCAATAAATGACCTTCACTGATAAGGTCAATGGGGTGAAATCTGTTTTAAAATGACTTACCGGGTATACTGAATAACAAAAAGGACCAGAATGATATTTGGTCAGTAAGATGCTGCGATTAAAGGCTACCAAGTTTTTTAAATTAAATGACCTTGACGTATATTCAAGGTCACAGGGGTTAAACATGTTTAAAACTTATAAAAGACTTCTTTTGAATAACCATGGTTATTCAAAAGAAGTCTTTTATAAGTTTTAAAAAAGGCCAAGAATGATGATATTTGGCCAGAAAGATGCTTGGACAAAGGGCTACCAAGTTTATTCAAGTGAATGACCTTGACCTATATTCAAGGTAACGGGTCAAATATATTTAAAACCTGTAAACGGCTTCTTCTGAATAACACAAAGGCCCAGGGTGATAATATTTGGCCAGTAACATGCTGGAATAAAGGGCAACTTAGTTTGTTCAAATAAGTGATCTTGACTAATATTCAATCACGGGGGTTAAATATGTTTTAAACCTACAATCAACATCTTCTGAATAACGATAAGGTCCAGAATGGCGTGCTTGGATGAAGGGTACACATTTTATTCAAATGAATGACCTTGACTTATATCCAGTGTCACGGTTCAAATATGAATTAAACCTTTAAACGACATCTTCTGAATAATGCTTAGGCCCAGATTGTTGATATCTGGCCAGTAGCATGAATGGATGATCTTTGATTTATTTTCAAGGTCACCGGGGTCATATTTATTAAATGTTGTTTGCCACGATATTTCATATTTTACGGTCATTTGATGCAATGATATGTGTAGTGACTGATACCCCATATCTCTTGGTACTTGGCTGATAATAGATCCGCCAGGTGACGCCCCATCTATATAGTGCTAAACTTTGTTGCGCTCTATCCCAAGAAGCCACCAGCCAAATATGAAGAGTCTATACTTCTCAGTTCTTCAGAAGAAGTCGTTGGAAGCGTTTCACATATTTGACCGCTGAGACCTTGAAAGTAGGTAAAGGTCATTTTCATTCTCAAACTTAGTCTGACACTATCCCAGGAAGCAAGAAGCCAAATATGAAGATTCTATACCTTTCAGTTCTTCAGAAAAAGTTGTTTAATTGTTTTGACATATTTGACCCCTTAGACCTTGAATGTAGGTCAAAGTCATTATTATTCTCAAATATTCACTGGCTCTATCCCAGAAAGCCCCTAGCCAAATGTAAAGATTCTATACCTTTCAGTTCTTCAGAAGAAGTCGTTTGAAGTGTTTGACAAATTTGACCCCATGTGACCTTGAAAGTAGGTCAAGGTCATATTCATTATCAAACTTTGTTTGGCTTTATCTCAGGAAGCCAACAGCTAAATATCAAGATTCTATACTTCTTGGTTTTTCAGAAGAAGTTGTTGGAAGCGTTTCACATATTTGAAAGTAGGTCAAGGTCATTTTTATTCTCAAACAACTTTGTCGGGCTCTATGCCAGGAAGCTACCAGCAAAATATGAAGATTCTATACTTCTTGGGCTGATACCTGTCCTTTAAAGATTACAAAGGAGAGACGCCCGATTTCAAAGCCGATCAATTTTTACCGTTATGTGACCGCGAGATTCTGTTGATGTACATCAAAGGATTTAACTGGTCTCCTTGTCTCATCAACAAGGTGGCCACACCGAGCCTTCGATTTTGCTATGACATATTCCAGGGGTGCAGAAAGAGAAAGTGAGCGTAACCCCTGGATATCGAGGATGGGGTTCAGGATTAACACCCCATGTCTGATTTTTGTTTCAATGGACACGTCTGACAGTGTTTTTCTTGGCATGAACTACAATTCTCGACAAATTCAAGTTGAAGACAGGCGAAGACAAATCCCTATTTACGTAGAAATTGACACTGGAGGACGATTCTGATATGGCAGGAACGTAAATAAGATGATGGAACAGCGGCTACACAGAATGAAACCTTCATATTTTACTTGATGTCAAACCGGTTCAACCGTTTAGATCGCGGTAAACGAATATGGCCTTAGTCTTTGCTCCATATCTACTTTCTTGCTAACTATTGATGACGTCATAGATATAGTATATTGTTTCCTCATGATTTTCGTTGTTTCTCAACCATTGCCATGTTGCTGTCAACAAAAAGTTGTGCTCTGAAGACCGCTTGCCTAGCAGACTGAAATAAGTCAGCACAAGTATCAACACAGTGATAAAAACCTGTACTCAGGAGTTGCTTCACTCTCCTTTGTTAAAGTAGTAGGGGCTATAGGTCTACACTTCCGTCATCCTTTAAGTTTTACCATATAACTTCCTAATAAGGTGAATACTTTGTGTTGCAATCGGATCTTCCACCTCACATGACAAAGTACTAGATTTCTGGGTTCCTCAAGGGTCGGTGTTAGTACCACGAAAATATTGTATGTACTCCAAACCGATTGGAGAGATTTGTCGTCGCCATAGCCTTCGCTATCATTGCTATGCCGATGACACACAAATTTACATGGTCATCCGACCACAGGACAGTTGGAATACAGTCTCAGAAAGTCTGTAAATGTGCACATTGATTGCTTAAATGTATAAGAGTGATTGCATTGTAAGCCTTTGTTTTTTGTTTTCACAATTATGACCATTACTATTATCCATATGTTGTAAAGCGCTTTAGAGTAATTTCACAAATTATATAGGGCGCTATATAAATGTTGTATATTATTATTTTTATTATTATGTAAATCAACTTTTTGCATTTACATGTTGTATATCTTTAGATGCCTGGCAGATACTTGAATATTGTTTTTCCCAACATAATACATCTCAGAAGTAAGATATTTATTCATAACTAGAATGCCGAAAATGTAACAGAAATCACAAAAAATGCAAAAAAGTTCAACAACTTTTATTTTGGAAAACTCTCAGCACTTCAGCAGAAAATATCCCAACATCATTAACATTACAAGTATGAGCTGATGCATAAACTAAGATGTTAAAATTGCTTGCTACCCAAGCGTTCTACCATGCAAGCTTTTAAAGTACAGGAAATGAAATGGATTGATTTCACTCATTAAATAAGCTGTGTTGTAGGTTCAGTACAAACTTCCAACAAGCATTGATTTAGACAGGTTACACTGTACTTAATCATGTGCTCAACTACATAGCTGATTGTTTTCTTCTCTTTTACTTCATTGAAGAGACTTATCCGAGAGAACCATCAGATGACTGCACATAAACGAGCATTACGTCTAATTTTCACTTGTGAAAATAGCACTAACAGGGGCTTTATATAAACTGATGAATATACGGCTCACCACCAATACTGTTCTGGAGTCTACTTATATTTTGGTCAAGAGAGCTGGATTTCAGTTTTACATCAGGAACATGCAACAATGTTCTTTAATGCCGCTTATTATGCAAGGACAATAATTTTATTTTTTACATTACATTTACCTGTTCAGTCACTTGATAATACTGGTAGAGTACCAGTAATTAATATGTTACGGAGTCATCTAAAAAAATTAGTGATCTACATTGCCAAACATCGATTTAATCTTTTCTGATTTGAAAATATGTACAAAGTGCCACTGAATGTGTTTGAAAAAAAAAAAAAAAGTGAAATAAAACAAACTTGTAATATAGAATGTTAAACCCAATAAAGCAGTAACGCTGTTAGATAAATGTGTGAAGGGCACATTGTCACACTTGTCCCTCATGTCTGCTATCGGTTTCAACACTCCTAGACAGTGATTTTCTGCATCCCCTTAATTTCAGTACGAAATAAAACATCACACTTTACATAATAATATTATCTATATCAGTGCAATTCAAGGTTTTAAAGTGAAAATATAGTTGATATTTTTATACCGTGACAAACATTTTTACACCAAACCGACTAACCACAGAGCAGGGTGGAGTGTGAAAAATAACAACTAACGGGCACTGTCAATTTTATGTTGGGCAAGTGAAATTTTCCCATTCTTTACTATGAAAAAATAGGTTAGCTTTTCAAAATCTCCCTGTTCACTAGTACTGTAGTACTGTGAATAGGAAGTTGTACCTTCCTTTAATACAACATTTCCTGTGTCTGCATTTTTAGGTGGGCATGTACTATCTAATCTGTTCACACCTGCCAATATTGTTGTATAGATAACAAGAGGCCCATGGGCCTAAACGGTCACCTGAGTCTACAGTATTTATTTTTTTTGTTGAAATATGTACCAATTTGAGTAAAAAATAGTATAATGTTAACTTAACTTTGTCAGGACCATGAGCTGATCATTCCTAGACCAATTTTAAGTGAGATCGGCCTATTAGAACTTAGTAGCAAAATAGCGGCCATGGCAGCCAAATTGTATTTCTGATTGACCCGAAAAATAACAACACTTTGTCAGGACCATGAGGCGATCATTCCTACCAACTTTCAGTTCAATCGGCCCAGCAGAACTTGACTTTAAGTTTGAAATGTAAAATGTTAACGGACGACGGACGACGACGGACGAAAACGGATAGCAATAGGTCACTTGAGCTAAAGCTCAGGTGACCTAAAAAGTAACAGGCAATAAAGAGAACATTCTTCGTATCTTTATGAACAACAGTTAAATATTTTACTCACCGGGTGATTCTTTTTCGTTTTTTTTTGTCATTCATGCTACTCGCCTGTGAAAAGTGTCAAAATATTCGCCCCACTCATGAAATATAACTGTTATTCATTTAAGAACCCAGACGTTTCTTTTATTCAATAAACTTTTCAAATGGTTATAAATCAAAATCAAATCAACCATTATGAATAGGAGACAACCTCTACAAAACATCCTCATGATTATCTCAAAGTTGAAATTCACTCGTTTCCAACATATAGCTTTTTTAGTCAAGAGTTTAGCGTTTAGGTCTGAACAGTGTATTTCCTCTCCTCTTGGTATAGGCAAGATTAGGTTCATCAAGGTGACCTTGAGAAAAACACAAAGGTGTCTTTGCTCATAAATATAAATGTGTTGCCAAGGCCAGCTATAAATGATATTTGATATTTGTAGATTTCAAGAACATGCTATTACGTTCTCAGTCAATTATAACAAATATCCTTTGGAAAGTTTATCAGATCAGTGAGTCTGTCTCTTCGTCTTTAACAAACAAGTGCAGAACAATTTTCTGCAGGAACAGAAATCTTGGACAGAAAACATCAACCTTTCTGTAGTATCCACAATCTGTTCAGTACTGCACGTTTTTGTTCATTTGCAGCAACAAGTTCACATCATTAGCAGAAATTTGCATTAGATTTAATACAAATGTTTGGAAAATGTAAAAGATATGATATGAAATGGCCTGATAGCATGGTATTTGGTGACGTCTGACATCAGCTCCAGTCAGCTTACAGGGAATGGTGGGTCATTGAAATCTACATCACTGTCAAGGTCATTTCTTCTTGGCAGCAGCTTCTGTGGCAGCCTTCTTGGCTCTGATCAGTTCCACCAATTCCTGTGAGAATGAAGAAGAAAACTTCGGTTTTTGTATTCAGAACTTAACTGTCACAATGATAAGGTTTGTTTTCATTCACAAGGATGGCCATAAAAAAAAACCAATGTCACATCATGATCAGATATCGTTAACATTTGAAATGAATGGGGTCCAGGTTTCAAATCATAACATAGAACAGGTCAGTGCGAAATTTCTTTCTAAGCTGAAAATTACATAACGAGAATCATGGCAATTCAGTGTCCTGCTAGTGAGAATTAGCAAAAGAAAACATCCACTGCTAATTTTACCTTGTATCTCTTCATACAGTCCTTCTTGCTGCGAGCCGGGAGCACCGCGGCTATCTTTTCCCATCTCTCAGGTGTGCTGGCGGGAAAGGTTTTGAGGGACTGTTCCAGCAACTTCTGCTCTTCGGCAGTCCACGGGGCAGGGTTAGTGCCAGTCTCACGGATCTGTTGCTCCCCCACAGCTAACAAAACAGTTATACTTCAAAGTAATCTTGTGTCAATATTGTACTTAGGTTTAAATCATTGTTTCATTAGATGTAGATTGTTAAAGGAGAGTTATTCTTGAATTCAAACACATTGTATCTCACAAACAACTATTGATGAAGTCATCGATTCAGACAGGTCATTCATTCTGTGAAATTCTATTTTTAGTAACAGTAACCTTGACCTTAGACAGATTTTGTTTAATTTTAATCAAGTTTTTCTCCTTCCCTATTGCAACTCACATACTGGTTTTAAGTCTAACTTTGTATGATCAGTTGTTCTGTAGTTAGAATTCAGACAAGAAAATGTTCCTTTTCTTCAGTAATAATGCCCTTGACCTTTGACAAAATGTAAACGGATGGGCAGGTGTTGGGTGTGATTGCTATATCCTCCCCCTAATTCTTGTCTTGGGGGATAAAAGGAAACCTAGCCTAGCTGAGTCTGAGAGTAGCACCATCTTCACACTTACATTCAAACCGTTCACTTGTAACCCCTTCCTTTGGCTTGGCATTGTGAGCTGAAGGCTTGGCTGTTTGTTGCTCAAACTTTTCAAAGGCTTTTCTGTCTGCATCTTGCTTGAGGAATGCATCTGAAAGGCAATTCATCCAAATGTCAAACTCTGGGCTGTACCAACTCAAAAACATACTATGTGTGACTCTGTGGACTGTACCGACTCAAAAACATACTATGTGTGACTCTGTGGGCTGTACCAACTCAAAAACATACTATGTGTGAACTGACTGAATTCAGATCTTCTTTATGTCAAATTTTCAAGCAAATACAAATCACACAATCGCTTCACTGTGTTGTGGAGGACTCTTTTCGCTGCTTCAAGAAACAATTTTTTTCAGGATACCAGTACAAAAAGATAGTGAGCCATAAAACTGATCCTAAATAAATGAGTATATAAGTCAGTCAGTATACATACTGTAACTGTTATTTATATATTTCAATTCAACAGATCCTCAGGTCAAATGAAAGAATTGATAACAACATGTCTGATATATAATATAGTTACAAAGTTATAGGCAATAATGAATAATAATATTTCGAGGTTCTTATATACCGCTTTATCACAACCTAGTTCGTAGGTCGTCTCAAAGCGGTTCACAAATTATTATCCGTGGTTATAGGGCCTTCGCAACCAGCCACTATCTTTCTCAACTCCCTGTCGAGCATACAGCCGGTGCTGCCATTTCGGCGCTCACAGCTAGCATTCAACAATTCTAGCACTGCCCAACCACATACTCATTTACAGCTGAGTAGACTGGAACAAGCTGAGTAAAGTATATCTTGCTCAGGATACAACACAGTGCCTGCCGTTACTCAAAACTGCAACCCTTTGGTCGCGAGCCCGGCGTCCTACCACTAGACTACTATGCCTCCTAATGACAATAATTTGCTAAAATAAGAACACTTTTCAGTTGTCTCTGAAAAGTTGACAGAGAGTGGCACATAATATCTAAATTATAAGTGTCCATGATAAGGTTAAATTATCTTTGGCTTCTTATAAAAGGGCCGTATTTACGAGCACTTAGTCTGCTAAATGAGATGTGAAATAAAGTTTTCGCACTATGTCTAAGATTTAGTCCAGGTACATGATAAGAAACAGAATGAATTAGATAAGAATAGACAAAGAGGCTATGCATACATTTAAAAAGGAAAAACAAATGTCTAAATATTTCCGTTGACATTCCAGACTTGGTAAATTAAAATGCTATAAGGTAACTATGTTATGGTCCCCCTGTTTGTATAAACACCAAACAAATGGAACACAATATTACAATCTACATGGACTAGAACCCTACCATTTTTCTGTAAATTCTTTGCTTTTCCCAACACGTCTTTAGCTGTTTTGTTACTGGTCGTCACATGTTGTTTAATAAAACTTGCGATTACTTCCCATCTGTAAAGGAAAAAAATAAACTATAAAACCAGACACTGAAAAAAAATCTTCAGTTTTAATACATCAAGTCAAATCCTGCAATACCTGAAACACCTTAAAGTTGATATTTAAATTTTACCTTTTTTGGTCTGTATTGTAACAAGTTAGAGCTCTTCCTAAATGTCTAACTGTAATGAACCAATGAACTTTGTCACAATATTTCTGATGTAAGATTTGGTTTGCGTGTAGTTTATGTCCTATTAACAGCTATGGTAATTTAAGGACATGCCAGGTTTTGGTGGTGCAGGAAAATCAGGGTTGCTTGTAGGCCTTGAACCCATGACCCAAAGGTGAAGGTGAAGGTGCTACATAGACGGTCAGACATCTAAACCACTTGCGCCCCCCCCCCCCCAAATTTCTCAAATAACCAAGTAAATGAAACTGTTACAGAGTTACTGCCCCTGACTTACCTCTCTTTTGTTCCAGCTGGGAATAGGTTGACAGCTTTGATGAGGAACTGGACTTCCTCTTCCTTCCATTCCTTTATCCGGCTGTTTGTATTTTCACCGGATGCCTGGCGATGTATGGTCTCCAACTGTGCTTTCTTCTCCTCCTCACACTTCTGATTTAGTTCATCTACCTATAGTGGGTACCATTCAATTCATTCAATCAACAAATAAATACTGATCAATCAAGTAATCACTAAAATAATCAATAATCATGCAATCAATCAATTTAACAAGTTAGGGGGGGCCTGAGGCTAATCCTGATGCATCAAAAAACTTTTTTTGTCTGAACTGTTTTTAAGACTTGATCCAAAGATTGTGTACCCAGGCAATCCTCAGAGGAGTGTTTTCATCTCCTCATGACCAGCAATTATATCAAAAGTTGTAGATACTGACCTCTTTGTAGAAGGCTGCCCTGGCTTTATCCTGGTCTCTGCTGCCTAGCTCTTCATTGAGACTCTGTAACCTGTATACAAGTCATAAATTACTGTGGGTGAACCTTGAATGGCATATAACAACCTTAGTGAAAAAGGCAGTAAAATAGGTACTGGGCTAACTCCTGAAAGTAGCTGTATGAATAAAGGAATGTTTTACCATTATCTTTGCTTTCTATATTGACATTTTCATAAAAAAAAAAAAAAAAAGGTCACAGAAAGGACTTTTGACTGCAATCTTACTTGGTCAGAGAAAGGAGATCTGCTAGTCTATCAACATCAGCCATATTAGATACTCTGTCCTGTTCTGACGTGGCAAAATAATCCATATCCTGAAAAATAAAAGATTAAAATAAATATTCCAAGATCAAATATCAAACGGTAGCTGTTGACACTCAAGTATCAAAATATAACTTAGAAAAATCAAATTATCGAAAGAAGCTGCCAGATTTAACTTAAAGTAGGAGCTTTTTAGATATTATTAAATGAGACAATTACAATACAAAACAATGATTGTGGTGGTGACCCCGTGTTCGTACAAGACACACTATTTGATATGCTGTACAGGCATACAGTGGACAAGATTTGTCCCCAAAACCTGTATTTTGATACTTGAGGGAAAGATCAAAGGTCAAAGAGAAGTTGTTGTGTTTCCATTTTGGTGCATGACATAAAACAGTTACACCTATTCATAATGTAGATATACTGTGGCCATAATATGCTCAGGAAACTATATATTTCTGCATCTGAGAGCAAAGGTCAAAAGGTCAGAAGAGACCATTATAACCTTGATATTCAACACAGCATCTTCCAATTATATAAATGTAAATAAAGTCTGAAGTCTGGACACAATGTCTACAAATATTACAGTGGCCATGATATGTTCCCAGAACAAGGACACAAGCACCAGGTGATTTTATCAATACAACTGTCATACGTCAAATAGAAAGATAAAAGTAAAAAGACAAATATTTAACGTATATATCAAAATAGGAATTAAATATTAACATGTATTAAGGCAACAAAACATGCTTTATGAAAGATCACCAACACCTTGTTTTGTAACACTTTTACTGAACCTTGATAGATTGCCGTGGTTTGAGACAGTGATCAGTGACATTACAGCTGTCAACATACATACCTTCGCACAGGTACGTAGTGCTTTCCTTTCTTTTTTAAAGATTTTCTTCTGTGCCTCCTTTTCTTTTTTTGCTGCTGCAGCCTGAAGTAAAAAACAAATATAGACTGAACAAATCTGATATAAACACGACAAAACTTATCCAAATTCCAACAAAATTAACCTGAATTCCTTAAATTGTGCTAATGAAATCTGACGGATTTTAGTTCTTTACACTATCATATCTAGCTCTGTACGGTTGTAACGATGCATATTAACTAGGTGTTCATGCTCTACCTGTGCCTTCGCTTCTTCCTCTTCTTTTTCTTTCTTTTTCCTTTCTTCCTCCAGTGCTTCCTGCTTTATCTATCATCAAAATAAGTTATTACAGCATCAGTCATATTTAAGATTAAACCTGATTCTGATACTTCAATTTAAATGTGTATTATTACGACCAATAAATTACTGGCCCCCAACTTACAGAATCTCATAATAATCTTTCTCTTGGTAATAATTTGATGAATATCTAAATTAACATTCATCGGACACCGTATTTGGAGTGGGAAACCACTACAACAGGGTTTGCCTGTCGTCAGATCATTTTGTTTTACAGTAATAAAATCTCTAGAATAGAACCAATACTAACCCTCACTTCCTCTTCTGCTTTCTGTCTAGCAGCCTCCTGTTTAGCCCGTTTCTGAGCTAATTTTTTCTCTTTTTCTTCGTCTCTAAATCTTTGTATTCTGGGATCACAGGCATAGGCATTATCTGAAACCACATTTTGTTAAATATCTTAGTTTTTGGATCTTTAAAATGTTATCCAACAGTATTAAGACCAACTGAACATAAATTATTCTCTAGCCAAAAGAGCAACTAAACTAAGACATATTCTTTAGACAACAGACCAACTAGAGACGTATTATCGAAACAACAGGCCAACTAGAGGTTTATTTCTGTAGCAGACAGGCCAACTAGAGGTTTATTTCTGTAGCAGACAGGCCAACTAGAGGTTTATTTCTGTAGCAGACAGGCCAACTAGAGGTTTATTTCTGTAGCAGACAGGCCAACTAGAGGTTTATTTCTGTAGCAGACAGGCCAACTAGAGGTTTATTTCTGTAGCAGACAGGCCAACTAGAGGTTTATTTCTGTAGCAGACAGGCCAACTAGAGGTTTATTTCTGTAGCAGACAGGCCAACTAGAGGTTTATTTCTGTAGCAGACAGGCCAACTAGAGGTTTATTTCTGTAGCAGACAGGCCAACTAGAGGTTTATTTCTGTAGCAGACAGGCCAACTAGAGGTTTATTTCTGTAGCAGACAGGCCAACTAGAGGTTTATTTCTGTAGCAGACAGGCCAACTAGAGGCATGTTTCTCTAGAAGTCAGGCTAACTTTTAACAGACCAATTAGAAGCATTAACCTTTAGACAACAGCCCAACTAGAGGCATATTCTCCAGCTAGCAGACTTAATAAAAGGGCATGTTCTCTAGCCAACAGACCTACTAATAGGCGTATCCGTGCACTCTCCTCCTTTTTCTTCTTTAATCTGGCAACTTTGTTCTGTTTTTCTATCCATCTTCTTTCTTCTCGACTGTAACAGTAAGATTAACACGCCCTGAAACTGTCCTTATGTTACTAACAAACATCCGCCACATTCTACAGTACCAGGTAATGGCAGGCAGAATATCAGTGGTATCGTCCTGATTTATATAGTCTTATTTAAACTACAGGCAACTGTAAATTCCTGTTACAACTTAAATCGGGATAATGAATTTTAAGTTCTTTCTGGAACACAAATGGTTTTGAGACATGTAAGATTTACACAACAAATATACTGAACAATTTCACATCAGTAAAACTTACTTCTCTCCCTTCTCCTTTTCCTCTTCATCTAGATACGAGTATTCTCGCCAGGAATCAAAATCATACCTTCAATAAAAAAAAAAGGCTTATATTTCTGTTTGAATATTTTTAAGGTTGACAAAAGAGTTGAAAGCAATTGATCTTTATAATAAGTATTAGATATTCAGCTAATACAGTTGTTAACCCTTTAACCACTGTAGACCATGATGGACTCACCCAGATAAATGTATGGTATAGCCTACTAAAGTTACTTAGGGGTGAAAGGGTTAACTGCTATATACAATTATTCTAACACCTCAAAATCTAAGATTATCTTCTTCCATGTTATTTCATTGGTGGAACCTGGAATACTCAATAGATTTCCTGATGGAAAATCCATTTTGTCAAACAGTTACCTGAACTTGGATGATTTTAACTTAATTTAATTAAAGGTCATTCAAGGGAAATAAATCCTTTAGCGTATATCATTACTAAGCAAAACATCTTACTGCCAATTTTGGTTTGCAGAATTTCATACATTTTAAAATTATCCACATCAAACTGCAGCATATATAGATATCCTTGATGGCAAATACATTTACTTAACATACTCCCCCCGCGGTGTTAAATACATTATACTGTATGAGATTAGCTTACCAAAAGGAATAAAAGTTGTTCACGTTGTCTATTGTATCATTTTCACCTCCCAGCATTGGCACTTTCCTTTTTTTATTACTCCATCTGCAACACAGAAAAAATTATAATGCTCTGTAACCTCTGTTTGTATTGCTCAGGAACCAAATGTTATAATGTTCTTTGTGAATCAAGGTCAGATTCATTGATACATATCTTCAATAAGATTTGTCAGTTTGATAGTAAGTATGTATCAAGGTTTTATTTCATACATAAACTAGAAAATGTCTGTAAGACATAGTCATTGTACAGGTAAACAATACAAATCACTCACTCAGTCATAACTTGACAAAGGACACATTTGATACCATTGCATACAGAGAAAAACCTGACACATATCAATTTTATTTAATTATTAAAAAGGTGAAGTTATGTTAGCTTTAAATTGCAAGTCAAGCCAATCACAAGTTTGAAAGTTTCAAACGAGAGAGACAAAGAACCATAGCTTTGTGGTCATCTCCTCTAGCAGGAAATTCACACTGTGTGCGAACTTCCTGTTTTCAAATATTGATTTGACATATGGTGAGGACCATTTAATCCCTCATGAAGGGCTCAGCCCGGAAGTTTGGATCAAAAGTGACTGTTGATGTTTATCAAATACGTTCCTGGAACATTGTGAAAGACATTTAGTAACTTATCGATTTCCATAAAACAAAGAGTTTTCAACCACAGCAAGCTCACACACCTTGCATTTCTTTCAAAAACTGGTCCAAATGAAGAAAAGAAATTGTCTTTGGTCTGCTGGTTAAGGCTGGGTGTACTGTCATCAAACTCAGGGTCCACACTGTCGTATGATCTTCTCTTGGTCCGAGGTCCCAGTACTTCATAGGCTGAAAAGTCCAACAGTGGAAAAACACATGTTCAAACAGTGAAAAAAAGTAATGCAAGCTGTTTACCAGTTCTAATTAAGATTTGGAAATTGTATTTCCTTTACAAAAGGAAGGAATTGTAAGCAATACCTAGTCCCCCACCTCTGACAAAAGTTTGGAATGATATTGTATAACAGACACAAAGGACCATAACTTGATATATAGCAATATTAAAATACAAAACTTGAGCTAGAAGAGTATAGGAGATATTCCCCAGAATAACTAAGGCTTGGAAGACAAAAGGCCATAACTGGGTATAAGCATACCGCACTCTGCCACCCCAAAAGGTACTTACTCACAAGTTTGACAATTATAGGTGACAGAGTATAAGTGATATATTCTCGACAAAGTGAAAATCTACAGTTCCCTCAGGTAGTACCTATGGAAGACAAACATGTTTGTGAGTTAATTTATTGAACAGACAAAATTCTGTGTTTGCATTTAGGTCTGGCAGCACACAATTCTATGTAACCCTTTATAATCTTGACACCTTAAAAACCAGTCCTTCAACTAGGTCCCACTGTATACATTTCTTTGTAACCCTGTATAATATGGACACCTGTACAAACCAGGCCTTCAACTAGGTCCCACTCTATACCTATGTAACCCTGTATAATCTGTACACCTGTATAAACCAGTCCTTCAACTAGGCCCCACTGTATACATTTCTATGTAACCCTTTATAATCTGGACACCTGTACAAACCAGGCCTTCAACTAGGTCCCACTCTATACCTATGTAGCCCTGTATAATCTGGACACCTGTACGAACTAGTCCTTCACCTAGGTCCCACTGTATACATTTCTTTGTAACCCTGTATAATCTGGACACCTGTATAAACCAGACATTCAACTAGGTCACACTGTATACATTTCTTTGTAACCCTGTATAATCTGGACACCTGTATAAACCAGACATTCAACTAGGCCCTACTGTATACATTTCTATGTAACCCTTTTTAATCTGGACACCTGTACAAACCAGGCCTTCAACTAGGTCCCATGTATATATTTCTTAATAAACCTGTATAATCTGGACACCTGTATAAACCAGACCTTCACATTTTATCGGTGTGAGATTTCCTTATCTCACCCTAGGGTTGAGACGGGGGGACTCCCCTCTTCATAACAAAAGCATGACGTCACTTCAACAATACGATGACGTCACATCAACAATCCATCAACATCACGTCAACCCTGAATTATGCGTATGATACACAATGGGAGAACAGGGTAAGAGAAAAAGAATCATTCACCCCCTTGTGAGTGAGATAAGGGAATCTCAACCCTCGGGGAAAGATACTTCAGTTGCCAAACACTCGTCATAGTCTCGTGTTTGGCAACTTAAGAATCTTCCCCCTCAGGTTGAGATTCCCCTATTTCACCCACAAGGGGCTGAAAGATTCTATTAATCACATACCTCGTGTTATACATGTGAAGTAGTCGTCCTCTCCTTCACCTTTCACCACTACCCCCCGCGCTCGTCGCTTGTCTGGGTGGTGTTTTAACACCTTGTTTTTGTCTACAACACAACAATGGTCAGATTCAAGACATTTTCATCCGTTTTTGATACATCACAAATAATACAATCATGAACATGCAAAACTATTCTTCTTGAATATTAAAGCTTTCTGCAGCTATGTTATAATGTAGATTATTTAACATGTTATATTGTTTGGGGTGTGGGCTTGTTTGAATGCTTTTTAAAGGAGAATTATTTACAAAATATAAAAAATAGCCTGGAACTTCTGGAAGTCATAACTGGATACAAGCTAAGTAGTCAATATACTTACACGCTTTCTTTATCTGGTTTTCTGAGGCTCTATATCTTAATTTCTTCAAACCTAATACTGCATAGTGATCTTGGTTCTGAAAGAAGAAACAACATTTACGAATAAAGCAAATCTGCAGGTATTTTTTTCTTATTAAACTCCAGTGCTGCATTGAATTCATTATGAGCAATGATTACTCTTCCTTTCTGTGTTTTAGTAACAATAACTCATTCACCCCTGAAGACACATTTGAACTCTTCCAATTCAAAGGTTGGAATTGTTCATTATGAAATTTCAGGGGTGAATGAGTTAAGAATATTTTCACACAGTTTTTAGCAGACTTATTTTATAGTTTATAGCTACTAATACACTTTTTGATAACACTCTGATCCACTGTTACAGCGATTAGGCCAAAATGTAATGAAATATTTTTCATTCAGACATCACAATCACAACGATGTCCATACGTCCATAGAGGACAGAGATTTCTCACAAATGAGTAAATAATATGCATTTACATTAATGGTGACTAGAGAATTATATTAAGTGCTCCGATGCAAGCTAAAAGAGCCATGGCAGTTTCTTCCCACGTTACGACCCCCACCCCACTAAGCCTTATGCACTTACATCTGGGCCAAAAAAAGTGATTGATAGAAGGCTAGAAGGAATAACTTGTTTCATGTATTTTGTAAACTAATGAAAGCTCTTTTTTACATAGACATATAAATCCAAACACTGTCAATTTGGTAATTAATCACCTTCCACTCCCTGGGGTCTAACCCTAACAGCAGAGCATCATCACCATCATCATCCATGCCCTTGTCATCGTCACTTTCGTCAGAGCTGGAGCTTTCCAGGGAGTGATGAGACAGTGAATGTTTGTGATGTCTCCGTGCACACAGTGCCTCGTACCATCGACCAACTGGTTCTATCTGGAACACTGTTGGCACTGAAAAACAAAACAAAACCTGTATAATGAGGAAACATTTTGCCCTGATTTACAATCCTGATGGTGATTTCATATACATCAACAACAGTTTATCCCTTAAGAGTAGAATATTCTGATCAAGGCTGACTGTTTCCCAGTTCTGTTTTATTTGTAGCTGAATATGATTCAGTATTGCCAGAAAATAGGTTGCTCATGATCAATTGTTTACAGAGAGTGTGTCAAGAGTTAGGAGGTCCTGGGTTCGAGTCCCAGACTGGCTGTGTATTTTTCTCTCCTGTTACACATCCAACAAGATTTGATTGCATGTGACCAACCCTTGTTTCACTGGGTGTATGCCTGGCAAGGAGATTCCCAACCCTGGGTTATAAATAGAGAATGTTGTCTTTGGGAGAGAGGATTTAGAAAAAAATTGAGGGAGGAACGTACAGTGGCCGACTGAAAGGACTAGTTACTAGGTACCTCAATGGGTAATTTAGTGTCTGTCTAGAGTTTGGAGGTCCCAGGCTAGAACCCCAGTCCTACAGATAATATATTACTTCTTCCCCATTAAACATACAACCGCATTTTGTTTTTATCTTTCACAAAAATGTGTAATGTTTCCAACATAAATCTTTTACTTGGCAAACATGAATTCGTGTTTTACCTTTAATGTCACTGATCATTTTATCAATCTCATGACATGTTTATTTTGTACTTTAGAGTAATAACTAGTTTTTGCGTTTCTCCATGCTTGACCATAGGTGGAACAGTCAGGTTCAAACAAAATCAGCGCATTATGCATGTTGACTGTATCGACTTTCGAAATGGTAAAAATAAGGAAGGAATCAAAAAGCCGGTAACTAGGATAAGTTGTTTACCCGATATTTTCCCCAAAATTTCCGTCGTCTGGCCCTCCGTGGCCTCCGGTAGAATCATCTTTATGGAAGAGTCCTTTCCCAGGTGTGTGCGATTGTCACTGTTGTCACAAGATATCACAGAAACTTATTGCGATTTAGCACATGTACATGTGTTGCTCATGTTGAGAATAGAGTGTACTATACACACGCTATGGTAGTTTTGTTCAAAAGGTCATGTACCGAATGTAGCTATCAAATCGCACTAACTCATATTTTACGTGTATTTTTCTTATCGAAATATATCTTCATAAAATTTGACTTTTTAAATCAAAGTCAAACTTTTTAATCAGCTTGTGGCGGATATTTTCAAATCTCCAAATTTATAGTAGTGTTGGTACCGTCGGTCATTACACGGAATTATATATAGTCCGTGGTCATAGTAACCTTGCACAACAGTCATTTGACGTTATCTAAGAAATTAACAGGTCAAAATAAACAGATAAGGAGATCTTTTTGCAACTCATTATAACAATTAAAAACTATATGCAGCATCGGAAAAATATATTTCTGACTATTTATGTCGTTTTTATAGATTTTTGTTGTGTTTGTTTTTTTGGTACGAAAAAAGAATATATCACAATATTAAAATTTAACAAGAAAAACACATTACGAAGGAAAGTTAAATATTTTTGGTGTGTGTTGAAATGGGAAATGTATACCGTACTTTACTTCACTAGCAGAGGGAATAAGACATAAGACAATGTGCTCCAATCAGCTTACACTTTTTCAAAAACTGTATATTCATAAAAATATATTTCAATAAATAAAACAAAAATAACAAAGGATCACAATGTTTTATGGAGAGGTCACAAAACACAACTTTACAACAATCAGCGTTACAGGATACAAGTTTTGTGAATATAGGTGAAACTCGTGCAGAAAATTCAGTCTTCTTACGCTATCAAAATTGAATACTATGAAGGGCAATAACTCTGTTTATAAGACTTATTTTAGTTTGCAACATTTTGCCCTCACAAGGTTCATGTATGAGTTTGGTAAGCCAATGCGCGGATAAAGTGGATAGGAAATTATGCATAGAAAAAAATTAGTATGAAAATCAACAAAATGGAATAAATATGCTGAAAAATGCACGTTTTTGGAGTTTGTCGCAAGAATAGCACTACAGCACTAATATGCGACGTAAAAGAAAGATGCTTGTATCATATATCGTGAGCATGTTTTCTATTTGCACGAAAATAAAAAAAAAATGAAGCGCAAAATCGTTCGAGCTATGTACGTATTGAATATCTTATCAAAATACGAATATCTATAAAGGGAGAACGGCAACGACAAAGAAAAACGTGGAAAAAAATTAAAGAATATANAATATACTATATATAATTAAAGAATATACGCTAGTGTCACAAATCGCCAATATATTTGAGCACAAGTTATAACAACATTATCATCGTCTTTTCCATAAAAAAGATATTGCGTTCAATCACGTGCTTATTTAATTGACATTTGGCATATATTAAAGCCCATCAATTTAACATTTAAGTATTGTACCATTGTTTTTTAAAATCAAAAACTTTTACAATTTGATTTGACCTCAGACAGGTTCGAAAGAATATTTTAAGGTATAACAAGGGACAATCTAATTATGAACAATTTTGAAGCCAAGGGCGGATTTTGAAATCATTACGTATACCTAATTAAGCTTTTTCTGCGTGTCTAAAGAGCACTTTATTTTTTTTTATTATTGCAATGGTGATTGTTGTTTTTTTGAACTTATTTCGGATTTTATACGTGTAAGCTAGATATTTTCCCCAACGGAAAGTTTCGTTTGGTCAGCTAAGATGAAATGCATAAAAAATGGGAAAATTCAAACTTTAGGGCAAGTACATATGTTATTGATATACACACTCTACTCTTTATTTATTTTTTAAAGCGTCCTACTTATCACCGAATCACTGGAGATCCAATAGATGTTGAATGATCGTGAAGTAACGGGTAACCAAAGGAAGTATTTATCTATCTTTCAATATCCAAAAACACTCTTCGTGGTCTTCGGGGATATAGAGCAATCTTTTATCGGCAACCTGTATCGGGCGCTAATAATTATCAAAATCCAGTGGAAAGGAATTCGGAATGCAGAATCCAGAAGATTATATTTTGCAATAGAACTTAGACATCATGTTGGCAAGAAGTCTACATTTTCCACAAGCAGCTTTCGAAAATATTTAGGATTACCGGTTGATATCTCTTTTAAATGGACAATTTAGTGAAGTAATTTTTTTTATAACCTTGTCACAAAATTCTTCATGATTATATAGTTTGATACTCCTTGTGGGCAATTCATGTCGAGAAATTGACAAGTGACGATGTTTCCTTGGAGTTGGCGTTTTTAATCAGTAATTGAGAAATCCTTAACTATACAGACGTACGTTTAAGCGGCAGTTGTCGTTAAATTTCTAGCTGCTGCTCTTGTGTTTAACATATTGTCTACATCTGTTGGTATTTACCCATCGATTATTTCGGTACATTTTGAACATGCTAGTGCGACAGCTGCAACTTTTTTTGCACGAGTTTAACTCGCAAAATACTTTACATTGCAGAATTTAATTTCCAAATCACCAAACAGCAACGCTACAAACTCATTGAGCCATTCTTTTGTATTAATTTTCATAAATCTTTGCAGTTCTTCAATAAATTTATGAGAAAAAACCCGAAAAAATATTATAAATTAACATATCTATATTAAAGTATTCCATTTATAAGAAAAGTAAAAACCCTTTTGCGTAAAAAGAAATCACTTATGCTACTATGATTTAAAATAAATACCAGGCTTTGTAATTTGGTATGTTATTTGCGTTAATATATAATTAATTCAATAAATAAAGAGGCCGTGTATATTATTATTAGTCTTTATACGTCTCTGATTTCGGTAAACCTTAAGTTACAAATGTGTCAATTACTAATTTATCAAGTTCAAACACCGTTCGCAAGAGACAGATATTATATATATCTTAGTGTGGATCTCTTTTTGAAAGAAGATAATTAATTGTAACTTAACATACTTCCTTAAGCAGATTTTGGTTCAATTGAGAACAAGTCATGCGCAGGTTTAGTACCATATCGAATAAAGATGGCGACGTTCCCAAACCCGCTCAGCGGGAAATTGAAATCAACATCTACTCCGACGAAGAGATATCACCCTTACACTCGGGTAATTTACTAAAAAACTCGTGGAGAAAAATCGATGGCATTCTTGTTTTATTTATATACTTGATTTCTCGCAATTTTTACGTTACACTATGTTTAGATCCTGCGATCTGTCAGCGGAATTTGAAGAATTTTCTGTTTATAATTATTTATAATGTTGCAGCTGTCAATGTTATCGGGTTAAGCTTACTATGACTTGATACTTAAAGCTTTATAACATGTTTGTAGCAGATCCATAAATGTATAAGTCACTTGTAGCGATGTGTCTCAGTATTTTCCTGCATCTTGACCCCCCACCCCCCCGCGCACCCAAACGTCAAGTAGTTAGTCAGGTATCATAGGTTTACACATAATCTACTGTAGTGTAGTCATTCTACGGTTTCACCTCAAACAAATTGCAGCACAAAATATTTGTATCAGTAGCGAGAATGGATTTGTTCCGATGTTTTTTTTTACACTTTTTTTCTCCTTATGTTTTTATTTGCTCTTAAAAGTCAATTTGCCTGTGTTTCATGCTAATTAACTACAGCAGTAATTATGAAATGATTGATAATTATAGTTTCGTCGTAAATCTCATTTGCCCGGGTAGTTTCGCACTAAGATGTTTCCACCAAAAAATATTTTGTGGGCGAAAGTTTAATTTGTTAGTCCTGTTTAGTTGTGTATGGCTATATATAGTGTAATAGGGGGAGGTCCGGAGAGGGTTTGCATCCGTTGTCACTCTGTTAAATCCGTTTCGTGATCGTATAGTTTTTGGTAATGGTAACGAGTCGACAACTTCCCCTGCAGTCCTCTCTAGACTTCGCCTCTTTAGTCAGATTACAGACCTGTTTTCACTACAGGTTCGAACACTGGATGTAGTGGTAATACAAGCAATTGATTCAATAAGTGAATAGCTCAACAAGGTGTTTCAAAATACAAGTAACTGTTTATTAACAAGACGGAATGAATATGTATAACAAGTTTAACAAATTATATACAAAGCATAGCATTAGTGCCAAACAATGACAACTAATGTTAAGAAATCAATCCCTACGTACTGTATGTATAGAGTAATGGCCTATCAGTACTACCAGTAGACTACAACCACGTGCTCCTAGCTCCCTATAGATCTACAGCGAACCACCATGTATCGATGTCTAAGCCTGAAGCCCCTGACTATCCCTACATACATGTAGTTCCAATAGCACTCTATATATCAGGAACGATAACTTCATGTAGTCCTACGGTATTGGTACTGTTAGCAGCACCTCGGCCCATGTTTTGCACTGTTAACAGCGCATGGGGCGGTAAGGTTCTCCTCACCAGGAGAGGTGGGTTGGCTCACCGACCCTGTCAAGACACTGATCCCCGCCCGGACCCGCTGATTGATACCCCCCTGCTCCCCCCACCAAATAGCCTCGAAGATGAGTGACCAACTGTTAATCTCGAACCCAGCCTCACCATCTTAAAGCATGTGAGCGAGAGGCGGGAACCTGTTCCTGTTATTACTATCACCCCCTTCAGGCCGTCTCAAAAGTGTAAACACACATATTTCAGCACCGGTATCGTAGCAGCTGATCGCCAGGAATCCTACACTGAACGAAAAGCCCTACCCTAAATAAGGGTGAATAACACAGAAAGTAACAGATCCCTGTCTTTAAATCATAAACAACAATTATACTTAACAAAGAAATACAAATGTGAGAAGTAAACAACCTGTATTGGTATCTGAACCGTATTTATCCAGATCCAGATTACGGTTGCCTTCTAGCTTCACGCTAAGGGGAATTTCCCTTTGGCACAGTGGTAGAGCATCCAACTGGGAAGTCTGGGATCGCAGGTTTGATCCCTGGTGGAATCACTGTTTACTCTCTTTTTTCCTGTTACAAATGGTGTCCGTGGCCATCTCTGTGGCGACAGGGACTTGGAACCAGCTGGGTTGTGGTGTTTAAGCTGGGTGAACTCATTTAAAAAAGGGGGGAGTAGTGTGGCAGATTTTAATTGTACATAGGATTACGGTCGCCTTCTAGCTTCGAGCTAGGGAGAATTTCCTTTTAGCTCAGTGGTAGAGCGTCCGACTAGGAACCGAGGGATCGCGGGTTCGATCCCAGGTGGAAGCACACTACTCTCTTTCCTGTTACAGACTCGTTAGATTCGTACATGGTCGACCAGATCTGTGCATATTTTTATACTGCAGGTTCCTTAATATGATAATTGATCATAAGGTTAGTTAACTGAAATGAGAATATACACATATTATAAGATGAGTTTTGTTTTTATCTATTTCTCAGATGATCCGGAAAGAGGTTCACCGTGTATACGACAGAATTTATGCCACAATCTATGGTCACTGTATTGGAGATGCCCTTGGTTTGTTGACGGAAACTTTGACGAGAGATGAGACGAAGAAGGTATGAGATGAATTCTTGTCCTCAATACATGCAAAAACACCTTTGACTGTGTTCTTCCTGTGTAAAAACTGGATTTATTGCAATTTATCGGATGATTTATTAAAATGTTCTGTGTGTAAGAATTAATCCCAGTAGATTTGTCATCCTCATATGTACATGCTTACAATGTATACTTTTGCTGTTTTACATTAAAAAGGTAAATTTTGTAATGCAAATTTTCAAAGCCTGCTTCTATGTTTGAACTTCAGTCAGTTAATTTAATCATATAGGAAAGCTGTTCTTATACTGTGATATTTCATCTAAAATTGTTCTTTATTTTTTTTCCTGCTCCAAGCCAGTGTATATCTAATCCCTCACCAGAATTTACCTCCTTTCAAGAAAAAAGTGATAATAATACTATTTTGGGAGAAATTTGGAATATTTTAAATGTTTTCGATATTGTTAAGTACCTATTACTGAAGGTCAATTGCAGTATAATTATGTACCCAGTATGTAGTTCAGTCAGGGAAAATCCTGGAGTTTGAGAGCAGGGGGCCATTATTTCAGCAATTTTTAGTCAATATCAAAGTTAAGATGGGTCATTCTACTTAAAATTAAAAGAAAATTGTAATATGGAGGGGTCGATGGTCCCATGGCCCCCTCCAGGATTACTCCTGGTTCTGAAACAGGTAAATACATATCATAAGTTTCATACAATAATTAAATGTAACTACATGTAGACATAAGGTTGCCAGTTTTTTAGGTCACCTGAGACAAAGTCTCAAGTGACCTATTGCGATCGCCTTTTGTCCGTCGTCCGTCGTGCGTCCGTAAACAATTTACGTTTTCGACTTCTTCTCCAAAACCACTGAACCAATTTCAATGAACTTTTGCAGAAACCTTACATGGACAAAGGTCAACAAAAATAGTTGCCGGTTTAGTCCCAAGCCCCCAGGGGCCTGAGGGGCGGGGCCAAAAAGGGTCAAATTGACTAAAATTTCAAAAATCTTCTTCTCAAGACCGAGATATGGTAGAATCAAATACTCTTCATAGATGGAAGGGTCTTAAGGTGCTTTAC